ACCAAAAAGGGCAATTTCAGTGGTGCGACAAATTGGAGAATAGAGTACAGTGCTTAGTTGAGAAAATATATGGGGGGTTACTGTACTACTTAAAAACAACACCGCAATGGAAAATAAATCCCCATATAGGCCTCCCTTCTGGTTTATCATTTTGAAATGGGGCTACGCTACTTGCCTGGGTTGTTGGAATACATATTGAGTAACATTCAGTACTAATACACATGATTTACATACAGCTTAGGCTATACCATATGGGAGATAGTAAAAGTATATAGCCGACTCCAGAAACTGTAACAATTGGCCATAACATAACATGAGAAGAATTGCCACTTGCATGCAGCCAGTGGAACATTCTCATAGTGGCCGTAACAATCCTTGCAGGTGTTTACAAGACTTGAGATCAAACATAACATGTCGCCTATACTATCTGATAAAGCAAAGGGTGCATAAGTACAGGAGCCAAGAGGCATGCTGTCTTCAATGACATTGTGAAGTGGATTGTTTACGTAATGCCTGGAATAGGTCGTACTTACCTATCAGTGATACTGGACTGTGTGTCGCTCATTGGGCTTCCGTTTCTAGATTTGCTGTGATTTACATCCAATTATCATTTTCCAAAGTATGATAAGACAGACTCTTTGAAGAGTCCTTCCCTAACATCCGTCTACGTTGATGAGATGAATGAAAAAGGTGATGACATAAAAAATCAACAACATTGAGAGCTGAATCTCCAAATAACAACGTTATGAAAACACCTTAATTGTCGGCGATAGACTCCCAGTGAAAAATAATGTCTGGGTATGTCCTAATACTGATTTCAATACCTAAATGTAATAGTTTTGCAATCCTTTGCAATGAAATGGTACGTATTCAGTGAAGCCACTGATGATAATGCAATTTTCGCTGCTGTAGCAATTTCTTGAGATAAATTAGGACCTCTAATCAGCCCTCGTCTTACGTCGTGCAGCTCTCCACTTTTTCGCACAAGACACCAGGGTCAGGGATGATGTTCCTATTGACAATGATGTGTTCCCTTGGAAAATATCGATACAGGCTCCACTTTCACTCTTTCTGCATCTATCTTCATGTACGAATCCTTTGACGTCAATCAAAATGGTTCGCATCACACTTATTTTTCTAAATGTAAAACCCTATAGAAAATACAACCAGTTAACCTGGCCTGGTGTAATAACAGTCAGCGTATCTTTTTTTAAAGATGTTGAAAATCGAGTCAGTCCCATTTGCAGTTCCCAGCCTCCAGATTTGCCTTTATCCGTGGACGAACAGCCAGCCCCTCGTGACCATGAGAATTTCTAAAAACTGACAAGTCTGAGTTGAAACCCGTGTTGTGAATTAGCTAACTAGTTAGTAATTATTGCATAAAAATAACAACTAGGTAATATTCTTAGCTTGATTCGCTAGCTTTAGCAAATGCATTAGTTGTTTCCAGCTAGCTATTACACTATTTAGCTTGCTAGCCAATGTGCCCCTCTAAATTTGTTGGGAGCTTCAGTTCAGTTAGCTTGAAGCTAGCCAGACTCTAACATTAGCTAGCGGTTATTTAACTCCAGGGAGTGGAAAAGGGGACGCCTTGTCCCACAGTAGACTCGAAAGGTGTCCAATAATATACGTTTTCCTTAAAAGTTAAGAGTGATAGCTAGCTACGAAACAAAGTAAATAATTGAAATTCAGCCGACTGAATACATTAGCTAACTACTGTACCTTGCTGCTGAGTCTCGGCCAACCGTGGCTAGCTAGCTATCTACAGTACCAACAAAAACGGGATCTCTTTCAGTAGAAAACTTTGCTTCGTATGCTCCGACAATCCTGAATGTCATTCCCAAAAACGAAATCGCCAAAACAAGCTCCCCAACAAATATAAAACGTGTCCCGTCGAATATATATGAAGTCCTAACGAGCTAATGAACCGTTTCAAATGTTTATTGTAAATCTCCTTCGGGGTTGCAAACATCCACAAAACTTAACGGAGCGCAGTTTTCATTGACTCCATGTTTCCAGAATTCAGACAATTTGAGTTGTTTCTCTGCAGAATTCCCTTGGATGTCTATGCTATGCTAACAAGAATAGCTAGCTAGCAAACGAATTCTCTCATTTACAAAAAAAAAAAAAAAAACACTGAGCCGGTTATCACTTTAGAATAATGTGATTATTATCATGTGTTTCCAGATATGTTATTGAGGAGAAAATACACGACTTTCTACAATTTCCCAAAATATCAGGATAACTACGCCCTCGCCGTGGCCAACAGCTCACCATTAGCGTCTGTCTACTTCCGGCGGGAGAATACATTTTTTTTCCCTTGCCAGGCTATCATAAATAATAATAATAGTAATACATTCGTCTTTTGCCTTTTTCATTATGGTGTCTGATTGGATGTCCTTGGCAGATGGGATAAAAATGAAAACCTTGCCAGACTTTCATAAATAATAATAATTATTATTATTATACATTCGTCTTTTTCCTTTTTCATTAGTGTCTGATTGGATGTCCTTGGCAGATGGGATTACAAATATATATTTTACTGTAGGCCAAATGTATTTTGAATATAGCTTCTGTGAAAACCTAAAATTATCATTGTTATTATTGGCCTAATGATTATCACATTGGTATTCTACAACACCAACATATTCCTCTCATTGTATCTACTTATTTATTTGTGTTAGACCACTTCTAAAACTTGAAAACATCTGACACTCCAAAATCAAAAGTTTGTCAGATGTTTTCAGGTCTCAGAAAGTGGTCTAATGTCAAGAGGAGTCCATGTTTCATGTTAACTGTTGTATGCCTCCAACCCAAATGAATGGAAACAAGGCACATAATAAAATGAGATCCCTATACCCCACCCATTCATGTGGGATTCAAGTATACTGTATAACTGGATTTACACAGCAGATGGTTTAGGATATGGACTCATCAGGACTCACCTTTTGGGGTCTGAAAACTTCTGACAAACTTTAATTTGTGGGTGAACTATCCCATTAAAATGACCAGTTAATAGAGTACAATAATTTCCTGCTGTGACAATCATAACTCATAAATCATAACACTTTACAGGGTTAAATGGTAATGGCATTTAACAGCAAAACATGTTCAAACATTTTTTGTTGAGGACTCTACTACAGTATAATGGAGGATTGTTGATTTACATATGCCACCATGTGGACAATTTGAATACTTCAAGCACAGAGCACTCTGATGGCTATAGCACAATACGCCTACCCTACAGTATGGACAAGGCTACACTCCTTCTCTGAATGCAACCTAGACTAGTATCTCTTACATTTTTTTGTAATAACAAATAAATACATGTAAAAGTTAATTTTAACAAATGCCAAAGTAGTAGTTCCCTGAGTAAAAAAAAAAACTGTTCAAATTGTTAAAAAACGTTTTTATACTATATAGGGATACTATACTGGGATGCAATCATTGTGGAATATTTTACTTGATATTACAGCACATATTTCTAAACCAGCTCTGTATTCAGGGTATTTATTGAACACACAACAAAAATAAACATTGCATTTGAACACGTATAAAGTCACGAAGGCACACTTGTATGATTCTACCTTGTCACAGGGGTGGTGAATGTTGACATACCATTCCACATATCTAACTATTTAGGCACCAGATTTAAATATTTAATATAAAAGTAGTGAATTTCAAATATGAATGCATACAATAATGGGAAATGTGACCTTCTAGCGTCCTACTGGAAGATTTTCAGCAATACAGTGCACAAACATTTAGCACAAATCATTGTTTATCCATTGGTATTTTTAAACTAAGACACAGGGGTGGTGAATGTTGACATACAAATCCACATATCTAACTACTTAAGCACCAGATTAAAATATTTAATATAAAAGTAGTGAATTTCAAATATGAATGCATACAATATTGGGAAATATGACCTTCTAGCATCATACTGGAACATTTTAAGCAATACAGTGCACAAACATTTAGCACAAATCATTGTTTACCAATTGGTATTTTAAACTAATTTACAATGACTAATATACACCCAATCAAGCAATGGAATGCCACTAAACATATTATTACATATGTTACACAATTACTTTATTTCAAATTTGTTGTTGCTGTGAGCTTAAACGAAAAAGCCTTGTGCAAAGCATTATTGTAGCTAAATGGAAAGACAGTTATCATAAGAAACATGTAGCTTTTTACTGAGTTTTATGTTATATAAAAGCCAGTGTCATGTACTCCATATGAATATGCATACAATACACAATCTATAACACTGCAATCTCAGCCAGCGTTCACAAACATATTCCTAAAAACTAAATGGAATGGAACATGGGATATTCCATGGAATATTATGAAATGGCTTATAAGGAGTACCACTTTTCAAATTAGACAAATTAGACTCAAATTAGAAAAATTACACAACACATTGCAAAATATTTATAAAAGTAGAATTTCTGCAGGAAAACTACTGCATACAATAACAAAATACTGCAAAAGTAAGGAAACAGTCAGTTTTGGTTCAATTGTACTGCCTCAAAACAGGTGTGGCCTAACCTATGATGATTAGGGAATGTTATGTAATCTAGATGGAGGGAATCAATGGATGGATATCAAAAGTGTCTGTTTCCCAAAGGTTTGGAAAACATACTATTAGGTTACAGTTCATTGCATTATGTTTGTGAAATACATCTGTTCATCATATTGGCACTACATCCTTTGGTTTCAAAGACTAACTATGTCTCAATTGTTTTTGCTACAGTTGTACATTTTTCAAGACGCTTTTGCACATTCTCTTGCACTTGTTTTTAATAAAAAAGCAAACAAAAAATGTACAAGTGTTAGCTGAATACCAAAAAATATTCCCCAATAATCATACAGGCCCAAAGAATGGCTTGACTTTGACCCCATGCTTACAGTATGCACAACCATTTGTATAATGTTGGTCTATTAGTATAAACATTGGATGTTTTCATTCATCATGATAAGGAAGTCTTTCAGTCTGTTTTTCCATCATGTTCTTTAACTGCTGCCAATCTGTGTTGGTCTCTCCAGCGTCTGTATTTGGATTGACTCTTGCGGTAGGCGAAACGACCAATGTCCACCATGAACACCCAGGACAGCACATACATGGCAACTCCCTCACACTTTATAATGAACCTGGGCCGTGGGGAGATGAGCTCGCAGTACAACATCCTTCCGCCAACCACTATGCGCATAAACACAAATAGCACTACAAACAGAACATCCACCGCCTCCCCTGTCAGGCTCTCATAGCGTCCCAACTGTCTCAGGAACCAGCGAGCTTGCAGAAGGGGGTTAGTGATCTCGCTGGCGAAGATTACGGCGCAGGACTCCATGCCTGATTCCCCCAAGCTCAGGGTCAGCAAGATACCCAGGATGCTCATGGTGTGGTGGACCAGCATCACCGGGCCCTCTGTGCGGAAGTAAACACACCAGCCCATGTCAAAGATGAAGTAACCCAGGCTAATGACCATAGCAGTGATCTGAAGGGGGGTGTTCTTTGTGCCTGAAATCAAGATCACAACGTTATTGTAAACACTCTTCATAATTAGTAACATCGTCATACACACATCAAATTAACGGGTCACCAAACGACCTATGGGAACTCCTTCCCCTTCACGCGATGAGATGCTTAATATCAAAGGTGTTGACAGTCACGCCACTCCCTTACTGTACCCATGTGACCTGTCAATATAAAAGGCGGTGTGACGTGACATACTGTCTATGACTTCACTTGAATTCCACAGAGGTGGAGGATTAGTTGGCTAATTGAGTTTAGGCTTAAAACTAAAATGTGAAATGTCTTGGGGGGCCCGAGGAGAGGGTTGGGAAACCCTGCACCACAGGATGCAACAGAATATATTAACCCAACAGGGTGGATTAAATGCCAACTGTAGTATACAACTGTAAACACAAACAAGCTGAAAGCTAAAACTTAAAACATGAGAGGCTTCAATTAGGTGTAACAGCACCAAGAGGGGAAGCCCTCTGTATAGAACATCCATCTCACTGATGGTTGATAAGTATGTACTGTGATAAGGTTCACAGTACGCTCACTTATCTGGGTTGAGAGAGCGTGCTGTGTCCAGAACCACAGACACCACTGATGGTGTGGACATAATATTGAGTCTGTAGTACCTCATGAAAGGCATGGGTGTTGATTCCAGGGAGGCCCCTCTGAACAAGGGCCCATTAGGTGGCCATACCCCTGGTGGAGTGTGCTACCATGCCATCTGGAGTTGGTCTACCTATTGCAGCATGTGATTTTGACACTGCATTGGTAATCCAATGTGCCATTCTCTGCTTCGAGACAGCGTAACCTTTGATGTTCTCCCCATAACACACAAAAAGCTGTTCTGTTTGATAAATTGTTCTTGTTGCGGCAAGATAGGCACTCAATGCCCTAACCGTGCAAAGTGTATGCAACTCACGACTCTCCTGTGAGAAGTGGGGAGGCTATCATATACACATTCAATGTAGATGGGGACTTCCCTGCAGCAATAAGCTTCTGGAGAAAAGTCAAAATGTCAGTAATTGGGCAGGAAGATGGCGATTCTGCATGGGCAATACACCACTTCCTGAACACGTTCCACTTGTAGGAATAGTCTTTGTGTAGAGGACCCCCTTACTGCCTGTATTGTATCAATTACCAAGGAGGGTACAGCTACAAGGCGGTCAAGTTCAGGGGCCACATCCACAACTTCAGTGTGCTGGGTTTGGGGTGCAAAAGCTTGCCGTTCGCTTGTGACAGGAGGTCCGCTTGAAGAGGGAGTTCCCATGTTTGGAAGGTTGTCAGCTGTACAAGGTCTGAAAACCAGTGACTCTGTGGCCAATGTGGAGCCACAAGTAGAACTGACTCATTCTCAAGGCTGATCTTCCTCAAGAACTGAGGGAGCGAGGGAATTGGTGGAAACACATAGAGCAGCCCCCCTCGGGCCATCAGTGTGATAGGGCGTTAGCCCTGAGTGGGCCTGCTGGACCCTTTATGGAGAACCACATAGGACAATAGGTTGAGTCTCGCAATGCGAACAGATTGGCCCCAGCAGGTGTATTGCTCTGAGGGATGTAATGTGTTTGTTTGCCCAAAGCAGTAGCTCCCTTGCTACCTTGTGTAGTGCCATTGACCTCAGTCCACCCTGGCAGTTGATGTACGCAACCACTGTCGTGTTGTCTGTCCATATCGGTACATGTTGGGAGGAAGTGCTGGAGGGCAAGGTGGACGCCTTGAGCTCCAGTACATTGATGTGAGCTGTTGTCCATGGCGCTGACTATACACCATGAACCCCTTACTGGTTCAAGACTGCTCCCCATCTCTGTAGGGATGTGTCTGTAATCAAATCTGGTTGTGAACTGCGCCTAGGAGAACTCCACTGGGAGTTTGAAGTGCTATTCACCACCATTGTATTTCTCTCTAGCAACTCATTGTTAGAAATGAAATGAAATTTGTCCATTCTGGGACATAGATTGTGTCTGTATTGGCCTCATGTGGAGCAAGCCCAACAGAACAATGTGGCCTAGGAGCCTCCGACTCTCTAGCACTGTCACCTATTTCCTCAGTTTGAATGTTGAAAGAGATTTTTTAAATGATACCACTCTTTCCGGCAAGTGTTTTGCTCCAGTGTACAGTGTCAAACCCAGGAAGTGCACACACTGAGTAGGGACCAGAGAACTCTTTTCCAAGTTCATTGTTAGTCCCAACTCGGAGAGGTGATGTGAGACAATGGATGTGTGTGCCAAGGCTTTGTGACCCTACACATACTAGCCAATCATCTAAGTAATTCAGGACCCTGACTCCTGCTTGGCGAAAGGGGTGTTGATGCTGCGCTTATGCAATTTGTGAAAGTTCGAGGGGCAAGCGAGAAACTTCCGCTAGAGAGTCGGTTCCATCAGAGTGGAACTTTCCCTTTGTCAGGGAGCTTGGACTGTGCTAACCATAGGTGGTGCTGTGCCACACGCAGTGTGGTCAACGTTTCCCCAACCATCTGAGCATTGCCCTGAAGGCACTGGATGAGCAGATCTGTCACTCTAGACAGTTCTTTCGTGGTCTTAGTATTGTAGTTTGCGGAGAGGCGTGCCTGCAGCTACTTCTGATAGAAGGCCAGTATCGCTGCTGAATTGCCATGCCTTGCAGCTGAAAAAAGGTGCTGTCATGTGTCCTGCGTAGGAAGCAATCAAATGCCCTGCATCGTTTGTAAGCCAGCTCTTGGTCTGAACTGTGACAGAGAGAAGCAGGCAGAACAAGTGAAGCAAATTATTTGTCCATACGGGGGAAATGGCCAAAACCATTCTTGTCTGCACCATGAACTATAGCTAAGCGAGTGCATTTGCTTGGCATGGCAGGGGTTCTTTGATTTGGCGTGTTTCATGTGCATTGGAGCTCACGCACAAAGTCTTTGAACAACAGGAGGCATGTCTCAGTCTTTGAAGAACTGAATTCATCAAACCTGAATGTGGACATCGTGGCAGAAGGGGCGTGCTCCACATTGAGGTTCCTGCTTGCCCTCTCAAAGATTTCAAAGGATATTTTCTGGTCGAGTGTCACTGCCAGTAGCAACAGTCATCAAAATTGTTAAAAAGTTTTAAAAACAATTCTAATAAATGCAACAGTTGGACAATGGATGAAGATACTCCAAACTGTTTGAATCCATCAGGTATTGACTAAATTATAGCACATAAAACATTTTATTGGCACGGACAAATAATTAATGGAGTTCAGGGATTTTGGTGGGAATTCAGGTTTTCAATTTGTCAAATCTTACATTTTTTTCTTAGAATGCACTCATATATACATTTTCTAATGGTATCAGGTATTTATTTTATATTTTGTATTAAAATAAATAAAATTATATATACAACTGGGTGTATTTGCATATATTAATAAATTAAGATAAAGGGGTGGAACAGGGCTGCAACCACAACAATGTCCTCTGTCTAGGCCTACCTGCAATCACCTGTGCTGTCTACACTACCTCATTAATTACTGTTGTTGTCACGTTCTGTAGCATCATTCAACAAGTGTGTAAATAGCAGAATACACTCGGATAAAAAAAAACAACACGCTTGGCTCTAGGTTACACCTATCTATACATACTTCACATTGTTTGCGAGATCAGACATCATATCACTCACTATAAGTGTTCATTTTCGGAAGTTGCTTTCATCTAATTTGTAGTAAATTATCACTTTTTTCCATTCCACCAAAAATTAACACCAATCAAAATAAAGTTATCTTTCTTCTCTGTCTTGTGATGTAAGTGTCGAGATGATGTGTTAAATCCTAGATGAAGCTTTAGCATTCTTATAGATGCAACGGAAAGAGAATGTGTTCCATTGAGCCCATTTCAGTGTTTGACAGGTCATTACAAACATTTCCACGTTGTACCATTAACTGGAAACAACGACAGGCACAAGCAAGAGTATGAAAGAGTCACAGGAGTAAAATGAAAGCAATCAATCCAGTGAGATTTAAGTGACAAGTGGATTTTGCACCCCTCACACAAAGTAAATAGATGGCTGAAAAAGACAGATCCTCAGGTGGGCGGGGCATGAGCGTTGCTGCCGACAGGCTGGGACTGGACGATGCTAGAGCCATGGTGCATACCAATCATCATCATCATCATCATCATCATCATCAGAGTGATCATAGTCTGTGGCATAAGAGTGGGAAGCTCACTCATCTGATGACAGTCCGGAGGTTCCGCCCACAAAGCTCTCAAGTCGAGATTTCAATGCTCTCGGTTTGAATTTCTGACAGTGAGTACAACAGCTGCTACCCTGTGAGCCACTTGAGCATGTTCAGCTCCCAAGCAAAGAATGCAAAGAGTGTGCTCATCTGAGGCTGGGGGTTGTTTCTCACACTGTTGACACGGGTGGAATGACATCCTGAGTACAGCACTGAATCTGTGTGCAAGGAACAGATTTTCACTCAATTGGATACACAAGAGAAGTGTGTTTCAAGAAAAAGTAACTATAATAAAAATAAATATGCTAAATAGCTTTGTGTCTCGATGTGCCTCAGTGTCTGCTTTGAGGCCTCGAGCTGGTGCCACGGTGTCAGCTTCGGATGCTTTGAGAGAATAGCTAGCAACACTAAGCATCAGCTCTGATCTGTAGAGCTTCGGGTTCGAGACTCCCGCCTAAATATGTAGCAAAGTCCGGGCTCGAGACTCCCACCTATGTAGATGAACTCAATACATTTTATGCACGCTTCGAACAAAAACAACACAGAGCACTGCACGAGGGCCCCCGCCATCCCAGACTACTGGGTGATCTCGCTCCCCGAGGCCGACGTGAATAAGGTTTTTAATCTGGTCAACATTCGCTCGCAGGCATCTCCACGGTCATTTTCAACCTCTCCTTGTCCCAGTCTGTAATCCCCATGTCTCAAGCTGACCACCATCATTCCTGTTCCCAAGAACTCTAAGGCTTCATGCCACAATGACTACCACCCTGTAGCACTAACATCTGTAGTCATGAAGTGCTTTGAAAGGCTGGTCATGGCACATATCATCCCAGACACCCTAGACCCACTTCAGTTTGCATACCGCCCCAACAGATCTACAGACAATACAATCTCAATTGTACTCCACACTGCCCTCTCCTACCTGGACAAGAGGAATACCTATTTGAGAATGCTGTTCATCGACTACAGCTCAGCATTCAACACCCATAGTGCCCTCCAAGCTCGGGACCCTGGGACTGAACACTTCCCTCTCCAACTGGATCCTGGACTTCCTGACGGGCTGACCCCAGGTGGTTAGAGTAGGCAACAAATCCTCCGCCACGCTGACTCTCAACACGGGGCCCCCCACAGGGGTGTGTGCTTAGCCCCCTCCTGTACTCCATGTTTATCCATGACTGTGTGGCCACGCACATCTCCAACTCAATCATCAAGTTTGCTGATGACACGGCGGTGGTAGGCCTGATCACCAACGGAGATGAGACAGCCTACAGGAAGGAGGTCAGAGAACTGGCAGTGTTTTGCCAGGAAAACAGCCTCCCCCTCAATGTCAGCAAGACCAAGGAGCTGATCATGGACTACAGGAAACGGGAGGGGGGGTAGGGGGGGGGTCAAAAGCTTCAAGTTCCTCAGTGTCCACATCACTGAGGACTTAACATGGTCCTACACACACCCTTAGAAGCCCTTAGGAGACTGAAACGATTTGGCATGGCCCCTCAGATCCTCAGGAACTTGTACAGCTGCTCCATTGAGAGCATCCTGACTGGTTGTATCACTCTCTGGTGTGGCAACTGCCCCGCCCGTGACTGGAAGGCCCTACAGAGGTAGTTGAGGATGGTCCAGGCGGTGTCTGAGAAAGGGCCGAAAAACTGCCAAAGATTTTAGCCACCCGAGACATAGACTGTTCTCCATGCTCCAGTCCAGCAGGTGGTACCGGTGCGTCAAGGCTCAGACCAACAGACTCCTAAACAGCTTCTATCCCCTGGCCATAATACTCTTGAATGGCTAACAACTACTGCTCTCCCTCTCCCACAGACTATCCACACTGATTCCATCTATGCCCATCCACAGGTCTCTACCAACTCAGACACAACCTACGCTGCTGTCAAAAGTATTATTGATTTGATTTATTACTCTATTACGCTGCTGTCCATTGATTATTGATTGCCATTACTATTAGTTTTTATCCTGTTACTGGTCACTGTTACTCCTGTGAATTCAGGTGAAAACTATAATCCCTTATTGATGTCACCTGTTAAATCCACTTCAATCAGTGTAAATGACAGGGAGGAGACAGGTTAAAGAAGGATTTTTAAGCCTTGAAACAATTGAGACATGGATTGTGTATGTGTGCCATTCACAGGGTGAATAGCCAAGACAAATGATTTAAGTGCCTTTGAACGGGGTATGGTAGTAGGTGCCAGGCGGTTTGAGTGTGTTAAGAACTGCAGCCCTGCTGGGTTTTTCACGCTCAACAGTTTTTCGTGTGTATCAAGAATGGTCCACCACCCAAAGGACATCCAGCCAACTTAACACAACTGCGGGAAGCATTGGAGTCAACGTGGGCCAGCATCCCTGTGGAACGCTTTCGACACATTGTAGAGTCCATGTCCCGACGAATTGAGGGCAAAAGGAGATGCAACTCAATATTAGGAAGGTGTTCCTAATGTTTTGTACACTCAGTGTATATTACCATTAGCATATTACCATAAGTATTTATATAGTCCTGGAACAGCACCATCTAGTGGTCTCAACCAGGTAATATCAGGATGTTGGATGTGACATAAACCTAACAACTTAAAATGACATATTTCTGAGAATACATTACATAGGATGAAGAAACAATATTCTGAGCCGCAGCTCCATACTACTTGTCAGACATAGAGAACTGATATTGTATACTCGTTGGGTTGGGATTGGCGTGGAGGTCCCTGGGTGGCTTTTAACCATTTCTTTGGATTCCTAATGTCTTACTCATTGTTACAAAAAAAGTTTGGTCCAAATCGGATGTAAGGTACTATATTTATAGAATATTATATGAAGCCTACACATTAAAATGGCCAATTTGGGTAAAATCAATTAGCTTAATTTCTCACAGATCAAATTATATCTAAACAAGATAATGTTGCAAAAATGCTAATCTTGATTAATGATTTCAGAACAATATGAGATAGTGGGTGTCATGGGTGTCGAGGCGGCAGGTAGCTTAGTGGTTAAGAGCGTTGTGCCAGTAACCGAAAGGTCGCTGGTTCTAATCCCCGAGCTGACTAGGTGAAAAATCTGTCGATGTGCCCTTGAGCAAGGCACTTAACCCTAATTACTCCTGTAAGTTGCTCTGGATAAGAGCGTCTGCTAAAAAATGACTAAAAAAATATATAATAAATAATGGCTTGCTGAAATGACATGGAATGACCCCTATACCAACTTAACCACCTTTAGAGAAAGGTGGTATAGAAGCAGCACTCTACATGGAAACGATTACTCTGTTTCAGTGTAATTAGATGGCGAGCATCTTACCTGGATGTGTGAAGGGCCATGGACCTTCCACATAGCCTATGTATGCTGTTATGCAGACCGCCAGGATGCCATGGAGCAGTGTGACCAGCCTACAGTTCCACTCAGAGCCACGGCTTCCATTGGTGTTACACAGTAGTGTGTAGAGAGTGATCCAGCCTGTAAGGCAGAGGACCACGCCAACAGACAGTGATGTCATCCCTCAGCTAAATACACAAAAACAAAACAAAAAACACTTAAATGATCAACACACACACAAACACATATAGAAGTTCCAAAAGACTGCATGACGCACTTCACTTTCTACCATCACCAAAAATATCAGCAATGCTTAATATTTGTGCGAGCAAGTCAGATTAACCTACATTTTATGTTCAGTAAATGTTCTGTAAAATGCAGCATAATTGCAATGTGGAAAAACAGTGCCTTCAAAAGGTATTCACACCCCTCGACTTTTCCTCGACTTTTTCCACATTTTGTTCTGTTACAAAGTGGGATTAAAATGGATTTAATTGTAAACAAATAAATTGTCAATGATCTACACAAAATACTCTGTAATGTCAAAGTGGATGAAAAATTCTAACATTTGTAAAACATTTATGAAAAATAAAACACTAATATATCTTGATTATATAAGTATTCAACCCCCTGAGTCAATACATTTTACATTTTAGTCATTTAGCAGACGCTCTTATCCAGAGCGACTTACAGTTAGTGAGTGCATCCATTCTAATTTTTTTATTTTAATTTTTTAGTAGAATTATTATTATTATTTTAATTTTTTATACTGGCCCCCCGTGGGAATCGAACCCACAACCCTGGCGTTGCAAACGCCATGCTCTACCAACTGAGCTACCTCCCTGCCAGCCATTCCCTCCCCTACCCTGGACGACACTGGGCCAATTGTGCGCCGCCCCATGGGTCTCCCGGTCGCGGCCGGCTACGACAGAGCCTGGATTCGAACCAGGATCTCTAGTGGCACAGCTAGCACTGCGATGCAGTGCCTTAGACCACTGCGCCACACGGGAGATGCATGTTAGAATACATACATGTTAGAATCACCTTTGGCAGCGATTACAGCGGTCAGTCTTCTGGGTAAGTCTCTAAGAGCTTTCCACACCTGGATTGTGCAACATTTGCCCATTATTCTTTTCAGAATTCTTCAAGCTCTGTTGATCATTGCTAGACAACCATTTTCAGGTTTTACCATAGATTTAAAAATCATGTTAAAAACTATTATTGCACACAGAGTGAGTCCATGCAACTTACAGTTGAAGTCGGAAGTTTACATACACTTAGGTCATTAAAACTCGTTTTTCAACCACTCTACACATTTCTTGTTAACAAACTATAGTTTTGGCATGACACAAGTATTTTTTCCAACAATTGTTTACAGACAGATTATTTCACTTATAATTCACTGTATCACAATTCCTTTGGGTCAAAAGTTTACATACACTAAGTTGACTGTGCCTTTAAACAGCTTGGAAAATTCCAGAAAATGATGTCATGGCTTTAGAAGCTTCTGATAGGCTAATTGACATAATTTGAGTAAATTGGAGGTGTACCTGTGGATGTATTTCAAGGCCTACCTTCAAACTCAGTGCCTCTTTGCTTGACATCATTGGAAAATCAAAAGAAATCAGCCAAGACCTCAGAAAAATAATTGTAGACCTCCACAAGTCTGGTTCATCCTTGGGAGCAATTTCCAAACGCCTGAAGGTACCACGTTCATCTGTACAAACAATAGTACGCAAGTATAAACACCATTGGACCACGCAGCCGTCATACCGCTCAGGAAGGAGAGGCGTTCTGTCTCCTAGAGATGAACGTACTTTGGTGCGAAAAGTGCAAATCAATCCCAGAACAACAGCAAAGGACCTTGTGAAGATGCTGGAGGAAACAGGAACAAAAGTATCTATATCCACAGTAAAACGAGTCCTATATCGACATAACCTGAAAGGCCGCTCAGCAAGGAAAAAGCCACTGCTTCAAAACCGCCATAAAAAAGACAGACTACGGTTTGCAACTGCACATGGGGACAAAGATCATACTTTTTGGAGAAATGTCCTCTGGTCTGATGAAACAAAAATAGAACTGTTTGGCCATAATGACCATTGTTATGTTTGGAGGAAAAGGGGGGTGGCTTGCAAGCCGCAGAACACCATCCCAAACGTGAAGCATCATGAGGAAGGAAAATTATGTAGATATATTGAAGCAACATCTCAAGACATCAGTCAGGAAGTTAAAGCTTGAGTTTAAACTGAGTTTAAATGTATTTGGCTAAGGTGCATGTAAACTTCCGACTTCAACTGTATGTGACTTGTTATGCAAATGTTTACTTCTGAACTTATTCAGGCTTGCCATACCAAAGGGGTCAAATACTTACTGACTCAAGACCAGTGGTGTAAAGTACTTAAGTAAAAATAAAATACTACTTAAGTAGTTTTTTGGGGTATCTATACTTTACTATTTATATTTTTCGCAACTTTTACTTCACTACATTCCTATAGAAAATAATGTACTTTTTAGTCAATACATTTCCCTGACACCCAAAAGTACTCGCTACATTTTGAATGCTTAGCAGGACAGGAAAATGGTCCAATTCACACACTTGTCAAGAGTACATCCCTGGTCATCCCTACTGCCTCTGATCTGGCGGACTCACTAAACACAAATGCTTTGTTTGTAAATTATGTCTGAGTGTTGGAGTGTGCCCCTGGCTATCCCTAAATAAATAAATACAAATAAAATTGTGCCGTCTGGTTTGCTTAATATAAGCAATTTTGATACTTAAGTATATTTTTGCAATTACATTTACTTTTGATCCTTAACTATATTTAAAACCAAATACTTTTAGACTTTTGCTCAACTAGTATTTTACTGGGTGACTTTCACTTTTTACTTTAGTCATTTTCAATGAAGGTATCTTTACTTTTACTCAAGTATGACAATTGGGTACTTTTTCCACCACTGCTCAAGGCATTTCAGCTTTTCATTTGTAATTAATCTGTCAAAATTTCAAACAACAATTCTACTTTGACATTATGGAGTATTGTGTGTAGGCCAGTGACCAAAAATCTAAATGTAATCAATTTTAAATTCAGGCTGTAACACAACACAATCACCACATACGCTGCTGCTACTGTCTATTATCTATCCTGTTGCCTAGTCACTTTACCCCTACCTACACTATCAGTCAAAAGTTTTAGAACACCTACTCATTCAAGGGTTTTTCTTTATTTTTACTACTTTCTACATTGTAGAATAATAGTGAAAACATCAAAACTATGAAATAACACATATGGAATCATGTAGTATCCAACAAAGTGTTAAACAAATCAAATATATTTTATATTTAAGATTGTTCAAATAGCCACCCTTTGCCTTGATGACAGCTTTGCACACTCTTGGCAGTTGCATGGACTCTGTGTGCAATAATTTGTTTAACACTTTTTTGGTTACTACATGATTCCATATGTGTTATTTCATAGTTTTGATGTCTTCACTATTATTCTACAATGTAGAAAATAGTAAAAATAAAGACAAATCCTTGAATGAGTAGGTGTTCTAAAACTTTTGACCGGTAGTGTATATGTACAGTGCATAGCTACCTCAATTACCTCGTACCCCTGCACATCGACTCCGTACTGGTACTCCCTGTATATAGCCATGTTATGTTCTGCTCCCTATATATAGCCATGTTATTTTTACTCATTATTTTTATTCACTGTGTATTATTTATTCCTTGTGTCAATATTTATATATATTTTTATTAAATGTTGTATCTTAACTCTGCATTGTTGGAAATGGACCAGTAAGCATTTCACTGTTAGTCTACACCTGTTGTCTACATTTAATTTGATTTGAACAAAATGTGGAAAAAGGATGTGAATACTTTCTGAAGGCACTGTACATTACCTTCAAATGAACCTGTGTTATAATCCAAAGTGACTGATGAACAGTGTATGTCTAAACTGAGCAGCTTGTTTTTTCTGAACTGAGCACAAACATGTACAAGTGTAAGCTGAATAACAAATAATTGCTTGACTTTGACCCCTTGCTTACACACAACCATTTGTTAGTTAATCATTTGTTAAAGGTATATTAGTATAAACTAAAGATCAGGAAGTCTTTCAGTCTGTCTTTCCATCATGTCTGTTAACTGTTGCCAATCTGTGTTGGTCATTCCAGCATCTGTATTTGGATTGACTCTTGCGGTAGGCAAAACGACCAATGTCCACCATGAACACCCAGGACAGCACATACATGGCAACTCCCCCACACTTTATAATGAACATGGGCCGTGGGGAGATGAGCTCGCAGTACAACATCCTTCCGCCAACCACTATGCGCATAAACACAAATAGCACTACAAACAGAACATCCACCGCCTCCCCTGTCAGGCTCTCATAGCGTCCCAACTGTCTCAGAAACCAGCGAGCTTGCAGCAGGGGGTTTGTGATCTCACTGCCAAAGAGCACGGCGCAGGACTCGATGCCTGATTCCCCCAAGCTCAGGGTCAGCAAGATACCCAGGATGCTCATGGTGTGGTGGGCCAGCATCACCGGGCCCTCGGTGCTGAAGTAAACACACCAGCCCATGTCGAAGATGAAGTAACCCAGGCTAATGACCATAGCACTGATCTGAAGGGGGGTGTTCTTTGTGCCTGGAAACAAGATCACAACGTTATTGTAAACACTATTCATAGTTAGTAACATACAAACACACATCAAAGTATACTGATCAAGAAACTACATTAAAAAAAACATGTTGCTCCTATACCAACTTTACCACCTTTACAGAAAGGTGGTGTAGGAGCAGCACTACATGGGATTAGATATTAAGCATCTTACCTGGATGTGTGAAGGGCCAAGGTCCATCCACATAGCCTATGTATGCTGTTATACAGACTGCCAGGATGCCATGGAGCAGTGTGACCAGCCTACAGTTCCACTCAGAGCCATGGCTGCCATTGGTGTTACACAGTAGGGTGTAGAGAGTGATCCAGCCTGTTAGGCATAGGACCACGCCAACAGCCAGTGATGTCATCCCTAAGCTAAATACACAAAAATATAATTGCAATATGGACATACATTACCTTTCAATGAACCCTTGTTATAATCCAAAGTGACTGATAAACAGTGTATATCTAAACTGAGCAGCTGTAGTGCTCTGGCCAGTCTGAGTTGTGAGGATCTGGTGAGGGGGACGTCTCATGTCGTTGTATTGGGAAATGAGACCATGATAAACCCTCGTTGGTAAGGGGAAATTTCATGCTAGCTCACTTCAGGGAGTTTCAAAACTAGTCCAAAAGTAATTGTGTCTGGGGTTAGTGGGGCAGCACAGCCTGGTCTCAGACTAGATGTAACATAGTAAACTCAAATCCGAGACACTCAAATTAGTATGATACTGTATGTTACGTTTGGTATGGTTACATAAGACAGAAAGTTATTTAAGGCAAAAACAAGAGAGGTTGGTAGGTATGGATGGATGGGCGTATAATGCAAATGTCTTGCAACCCAAAGGTTGCATGTTAGAATCTCATCATGGACAAACTTAACCCTTTTAGCTAACCCTTCCCCTAACTCCTAACCTTAACCCTAACCCCTTGCCTAGCTAATGTTAGCGACCTAGCTAACGTTAGCCACAACAAATTGGAATTTTTAACATATATGTTTAGCAAATTCGTAACATTGTACGTTTAGCTAATTCGTAACCTACGTTTTTCAAATTCGTACCATATCATACGAAATGGATGGACATTCACAAATGAATACATAACATACGAAACGTAACATTTCATACTGAATGGAGTGTCTCGGTTTTACGTACTGAATAACACAAAATGCTCTGAGACCAGGTTGTGCTGCAGTGCAGACAGTAGCCATATCTGCCAGTAAACTGTCATAAAGCAAGCTAGAGTATCTATTTATTATTTATACATGCACCTTTATTATGTACATTATGTTCAGTTGTTTTGACATCAGTGCAGAAGGGGAAAGAGCAGCTAGTTTGCTAATATAGAGTACCACAGTATGAGTCATAATACCCATAAAACCTAGCTGTCAAACAGGGAAATGTCCGAGAGAGATTTACATGGTTATCAAAACGTCCCGCCAGGGTACACCTACACGAAACACAGACCTTATTTTAATAGTTTCTAAAATCCCCTATGTGAAAAATTAATGGTGGAAAAACGATTGGAAACATTTCCCTGTTTGACCGCTAGGCTTTATGGGTATTATGGCACCTCAACTGTGGGGCTCTATAGCAAAGAGAGAAAATAACACTGCCAAGATGTCTTCAGACCGAGACATTTATAAAAATGCGAATATTTGAGCTAAAAACACATTAAAAGTGAATAAAAATGAATCCAGATGAGCTGTATAGACTATACAATATCAGTTTGCTAAGGCAGGCTTAGTGGACAGCAAGCGAGATAGAAGGAGAGCTTGGCTCCTCAAGCTATCAAATGTTGGCAAACAGAACAATGCAAAATAACTACTTTGTAACATCACCTTATTTCTGCACGGCTTGCACGTTCATATCGGTGACGTCTCGTCTTCAGTCCTTTTGTGGCCAGCATGGTCCCTCGGGTGACAGTCACATCTTTGCTTCTTTGTGTCCATGTTACTTGGCTCGTCAACAAAAAATTGCGGCTCGAGCATCTAATCTCAATATCCAACTCCCTCACCTTGCCGTGTCAGCAAATGGTGCTGCAGATAGCTGCCCAACCCAAAACGAAATTAGTGAGTTAGTTTCCAACACTCAATAGATACACAAAATATAATTACTGCTAGCCTGGTTCCGAATGTAGCAGTAGCTTTACCGTGGTCGGGTGGTGTCTAGTTGTTAACTCGTCATCTAGAATGGGGTTGTGGCGCCATCCGCTGGTCATATTTCGGTACTTTTCCATCAGTACATGGAGGTGAAAAGGTGAGATGCATGCATAAGCCTTGTGTATAAATGTTCTCTCTGGTACAGGTGAGGAACATGAAAGCTACATGAAAATGTATACTGTACCTGGAGCAAGATAGGTGTCAGTGAATTTTCCATCTTGTTCTGAAGTCTTAGAATCTGCTCAGATTTTTGCTTAATAAAACCACCCACAAAAGTGCAGTGCAAAAGAGGTGCCTTTATTGAATGTAAATTACTTCATTATCTGTGGTATTGCTCTTTGCAAACGTACACAACTCTTACATAGAAAAATATGTTTGAGATAGCAAAAATATCATTAAGTGTTAAGGCACATAGGTTACCATAGAATGGCCACAGTTTGAAGGGTTTTTACAGATAAAGGACATTTGGTTTGTCAGTTAGGAAGAGGACATACACAAACAAAGTGAACAAAGACATCGCATTAGCATAATGTGACAGAATAATCAGGAGAATTAAACAAAACAATTAGGTACCAGTTTTCTACTGAATATGATTAAACATAGGCTAATCAATGTGTAAAATGACGTAATGAGGTATAGGAATCGGATAGCAGACTTTTTTCCTACAGATTGCTGATTATTTTAGCCCTACTTGAACAAAGTGTTCCGTGTGGAATGGAATCACATATCGAAGTGATAATCAGGAAGGCCTACATGTACATTTATAACAAATTGTGATGTTAATGAAATGAACTGACATAAGAAATGTAATAATGGTTGTAAAAGGGTTCCACTGACTATGGTTAGACATTTTTTTCAATAATGAAGTCTGAATGGAATGCATTAGCTACACATTGCATCAACAGGAGGTGAAAGTATTGCTTAGAACGTTTTTCATCAGATCCATTGCATGATAAGTTAAAGTGGCAAGGCAGTTGAGTAAGCACTAGATCCAACACAGCCTGGCCAGAAATCAAATCAAATCTGATAAATTGCTAATTTAGCCCTTCCTTGGAGAATATTTCCTTTGTGAATCTTTACTTTGGTTTAGCTTCAAACTTGGAAAGAATAATGAAATATAAGCAAATCAACTTGGAGACCTTTGTCAAAATTATACATTATCTATGTAAAAGAAAAAATCATGGCCATCAGTGATTGAGCTGTGAATGATGATGTTCAAGTGAGTGGCATACTCTCTCAAACCCACTGTTTACAAATACTCAGAGGTGATAGCAGTGATCTTCCATTGTGAATTGGGATTCATGAAATTTGGTCCCAGGAAAATCACATTGACAGAAGAAATACAACATTGAGGCTACAGTAATAGAATAGATAGAAGTAACTTGCTCTTCAACAACATACTTTAAATTAGCATCAATATCTATACTGTTATCTAAATACAATGCCCACACATTTTCACAATATACTCCGAGGGTACAAAACATTAGGAACACCTGCTTTTTCCATGACAGACTGACCAGGTGAAACCAGGTGAAAGCTATTATCCCTTATCACTTGTTGAATCCACAATATTCAGTTTAGATGCAGGGGAGAAGACAGGTTAACGAAGGATTTTTAAGCATAGAGACAATTGAGACATGGATTGTGTATGTGTGCCATTCAGAGGGTGAGATTTAAGTGCCTTGAAAACGGGGTATGGTAGTAGGTGCCAGGCACACCGGTTTGAGTGTTCAAGAACTGCAACGCTGCTGGGTTTTTCACGCTCAACAGTTTCCCGTGTGTATCAAGAATGGTCCACCACCCAAAGGACATCCAGCTAACTTCACACAACTGTGGGAAGCATTGGGGTCAACATGGGCCAGTATCCCTGTGGAACGCTTTTGACATCTTGTAGAGTCCATTGCCCAACGAATTGAGGCTGTTCTGAGGGCAAAAGAGGGTCCTAATGTTTTGTACACTGTGTACAGTTGAAGTCGGAAGTTTACATACACTTAGGTTGGAGTCATTAAAACTCGTTTTTCAACCACTCCACAAATTCCTTGTTAACAAACTATAGTTTTGGCAAGTCGGTTAGGACATCTATTTTGTGCATGACACAAGTAATGTTTCCAACAATTGTTTACAGACAGATTATTTCACTTATAATTCACTGTATCACAATTCCAGTGGGTCAGACGTTACATACACTAAGTTGACTGTGCCTTAAAACAGCTTGGAAAATTCCAGAAAATGATGTCATGGCTTTAGAAGCTTCTGATAGGCTAATTGACATCATTTGAGTCAATTGGAGGTGTACCTGTGGATGTATTTCAAGGCCTACCTTCAAAGTCAGTGTCTCTCTGCTTGACATCATTGGAAAATCAAAAGAAATAAGCCAAGACCTCAGAAAAAGAAATGTAGACCTCCACAAGTCTGGGTCATCCTTGGGAGCAATTTCCAAACGCCTGAAGGTACCACGTTCATCTGTACAAACAATAGTACGCAAGTATAAACACCATGGGACCACGCAGCCGTCATACCGCTCAGGAAGGAGACGCGTTCTTTCTCCTAGAGATGAACGTACATTGGTGCGAAAAGTGCAAATCAATCCCAGAACAACAGCAAAGGACCTTGTGAAGATGCTGGAGAAAACAGGTACAAAAGTATCTACATCCACAGCAAAACTAGTCCTATATCGACATAACCTTAAAGGCCGCTCAGTAAGGAAGAAGCCACTGTTCCAAAACCGCCATAAAAAAGCCACACTACGGTTTGCAACTGCACATGGGGACAAAGATCGTACTTTTTGGAGAAATGTCCTCTGGTCTGATGAAACAAAAATAGAACTGTTTGGCCATAATGACCATGGTTATGTTTGGAGGAAAAAGGGGGTTACTTGCAAGCCGAAGAACACCATCCCAACCGTGAAGCACGGGGGTGGCATCATCATGCTGTGGTGGTGCTATGCTGCAGGAGGGACTGGTGCACTTCACAAAATAGATGGCATCATGAGGAAGGAAAATTATGTGGATATATTGAAGCAAGACATCTGTCAGGAAGTTAAAGCTTGGTCGCAAATGGGTCTTCCAAATGGACAATGACCCCAAGCATACTTCCAAAGTTGTGGCAAAATGGCTTAAGGACAACAAAGTCAAGGTATTGGAGTGGCCATCACAAAGCCCTGACCTTAATCCTACAGAAAATGTGTAAGCAGAACTGAAAAAGCGTGTGCGAGCAAGGAGGCCTACAAACCTGACTCAGTTACACCAGCTCTGTCAGGAGGAATGGGCCAAAATTCACCCAACTTATTGTGGGAAGCTTGTGGAAGGCTACCCGAAACGTTTGACCCAAGTTAAACAATTTAAAGGCAATGCTACCCAATACTAAGTGAGTGTATGTAAACTTCTGACCCACTGGGAATGTGATGAAAGAAATAAAAGGTGAAATAAATAATTCTCTCTACTATTATTCTGACATTTCACTTTCTTAAAATAAAGTGGTGATCCTAACTGACCTAAAACAGGGAATTTGTACTAGGATTAAATGTCGGGAATTGTGAAAAACAGAGTTTAAATGTATTTGGCTAAGGTGTATGTAAACCTCCGACTTCAACTGTATATCTATCCCGTTTTGCTACAATTCTGCAATTCTACAGATGAGAATTGGAGGAAATTAAGCTTGTAATTGACACAAATCAAAGACAAAATGGGATGAAGTTAAGATAAGAAATGTTTTAAGATGTCATTTTATACATAAGAATCTTCAACAATTTCACTTTGCAACCAAATAAATAATCCCAGCATCAGAGAAACATTGTCGATTGCAACCTGAGTTGCCATCGACCAGGAAGAGAGCTGGCTAAAGCTGTGTTATTGATGTCATAAGTCATTGTCTAACAGACCGTTCCGATCCAGCATCCCACGGTTTCCTGTGACAACATAATGGCACCGTTGTTCCTTCACCAGTCATCCCACTGGGCAAGAAATGTAGAAAATAAGCTGCACTGTCCAGCCGTATGCATGTCCTTATGAGAGGAGGTTCTTGTAGTAATTTTTTATTAGCTGGGCACAAACGTGTGAGAGTAACTTAAGGTCACACAGTAGGTACCTGGAAACTTCGGCGGCATCATATCCCAACTATAGGAAAGGTCCCCTATGGACATGTGTCAAAGGAGTCATTGAGAGGGTATAGCTCCTGTCGCAAAAAAAGGTTTTGGGTCTCAATTTCAACCTAAATTGTCCCATTTAAGGCATCAAACTACTATAATCTCACGACAGGATGCAACCCAATAGCTTTGGGATGAACTGAACTCCAACGTGATATCCAAATTAAATAAGAGAGGAAAAGACAAGGGGGGGGGGGGGGGGGGGGGGGGTCTGACCGCACCAGTGTGCTGCTAAGTCTCCTCATCCCAGAGACAGAGCTGTTTGTGGGGGACATAATAGGTGAATTGGTAGCCTTTGCTGCAGCTCTTGATGCCACACTTGTAGGGGATGCCTTTGCCCGTGGTGTCGTGGTTGCGGCAGTACTTGAGCAGGCAGGGGTACCACTCCAGACGCAGGCTGTAGCTGCAGGAGCAGGCCTGCCACAGGTCTCTCGTAGAGCGGCACGACAGCAGGACCGGGACCACGTCCACCGACTGGGGCAGGATCTCAAACATGGAGCCCTCCACTCCTACAGGTGCAGCAAACAACATACGTGAGTCAATGCACTAATAAGGTAGCCTGGTCCCAGATCTGTTTGTGCTGTCTTGCCAACGCCCACTGTGACAATGACCATAGGATTTGGCAAGACAGCACAAACAGATCTGGGACCAGGCTAGTAATAAGGAGCTTTTTCATGCAAAAGAGTGCTGCTATCGCCATTCACTCACAGATGGTTCACCATGCACTGTACTATGACCATCAGGCTACATTGTTTACAGTACAATAGCATTGTACATTATCTACGCCTAGACACTGTGACCTTCATATAAACTAAAGACACAGGGCTCTTTTCTGTCAGCTCTCATAATAAAACTAATCAACAATCACGAAACGTGATACAGCCTACAGTTGAGCCAAGTATACACTCATATAGAGCAAGAGAGCTATAGGAGCAAAACACTCTTTCAGGGAGAGAGTGTTTGACTTTACAGTAGATTACATAATCTTTTTTTACTTTGTCAAAGACTAATAGTGTTTTTGAAGTAGAACTGGGCTAGTTTGGTATGGTAGTGTACATATAGAGCTAAAATGTATTGGATTCATTTACATTAGAGCGTGTGTGTGATTAAGGTCTAGACCAAGGGTGGGCAACTGCGTTCCTGGAGGCCAGTGTGTGCAGGCTTTTATTCCAGCCCAGCACTCCAGTAAATCATACTTCACTGAGAGAGAGGGGGCTGACCTCTCCAACTGAAAAAGAGAAGCTGGGAGGACAAAAATGAAAATGTGATCTATATATTTTATTCCACGTCCACACAATGGTGGACAAATGTGTATCTTGTCTTGAGAAAGGCCACAACATTGACTGTGAAAGATACAGATCACCAGTGGTGGAAAAAGTACCCAATTGAGTAAAAGTAAAGATACCTTAATAGAAAATGACTCAAATAAAAGTGAAAGTCACCCAGTAAAATACTACTTGAGTAAAAGTCTAAAAGTATTTGGTTTTAAATATACTTAAGTATCAAAAGTAAAAGTATAAATCATTTCAAATTCCTTATATTAAGCAAACCAGCCGGCACCATTGTTGTTTATTTATTTATTTACGGATAGCCAGGGTCACACTCCAACACTCAGACATAATTTACAAACAAAGCATTTGTGTTTAGTGAGTCCACCTAATCAGAGGCAGTAGGGATGACCAGGGATGTTCTCTTGATAAGTGCGTGAATTGGACAATTTTCCTGACCTGCTAAGCATTCAAAATGTAATGAGTACTTTTGGGTCTTAAGGAAAATGTATGGAGTAAAAAGTACATTATTTTCTTCAGGAATGTAGTGAAGTAAAAGTAGTCCAAAATATAAATAGTAAAGTACTACTTATGTAGTACTTTCAAGTAGTCCTCTGTGGTCCTCTGTAGCTCAGCTGGTAGAGCACGGCGCTTGTAACGCCAAGGTAGTGGGTTTGAACCCCGGGACCACCCATACACAAAAAAATGTATGCACGCATGACTGTAAGTCGCTTTGGATAAAAGCGTCTGCTAAATGGCATATTATTATTATTATTATTAAGTATTTTTACTTAAGTACTTTACACCACTGCAGATCACCTTTTATTTTTGCCTCCCAGACTCTTTTTATTTATTTGCCCTTTGAGACTACATTATCTGTGAGACGACGTGCCCACATGTTCATTCTATTGACCTCTTTCCAGCCAATGTTTGACGTCCCTCTCCCGGGTGTAGATGGCCTCCCGGGCCTCGCTGCACATGTTGTGGATGTGGCTGCTGAGCTGCCACGCCCGGCTCAGGTTCACCGCCACGTTCATGGTCAGCTGGTCCAGGCCCCGCCTCTCCTCCGCCGTGCGGATGGCGTGAGGGTTTTTCTGGAGGACCGCAGGACAAAGTCAGTCATGTCACCATGGTCACTTTATCAAATGGGATAATGCTCATTCACTTCCAAGGACACTCACTGGCCTTATTATTTGTTATTCCCTGTACCCTTCCTTTGGAGTTATCACTGATCTGACATAGCAGTAATAGGTGGAAGCTACATAGTGGAACTACATAGGAACCTTTTGCTTGCAAGTATCATGTTGTGTTAGATCAGTGGATCAAAGGATACACTTTGAACATATTCAAACTGGGCCACTCAGTAAGTTCATTTCCCTGTACTACTAGTGCATATGTAGCGGAGGAGGTTTGGAACCACTCTCGTGCGATAACTAAACTTGCCTGAGACCTGAATACTTCCGTTAGCTCCCTGAGCTAATGCCTTTAACTCAGCGACTAACAGTCTTGAAGCGCCTGAGACCCGGGTTAGAACCCTGGTCGGTGACACATACCTGTCTGAGTCGGGCCATGGACTCGCTGGGGATGAACTCGTTGTGGTTGAGGCGCGAGATGAAGCACAGGGCCTGGTATTGGCTCTGGCCTCTCTCCAGCTCCCCAAGGATGAGTGCCCGGAAGATCTTCACATGCTGAAGGGGAGGGAAGGAGGGAGGGAGGGAGACAGATTGTGAGGCAGGGTGACTGCAACTGCATAGGATCTGGGTCATGTTCATTGCTGTTTCAACAATTGAAACAGCAAGGGACTTCCTGGACTTGTCCAATAAGAAAGAAAGATTTTAATTTACAGTTTTTAAAAACATTTTGCTAGGGTGTTTTGAACCAGTACAGTAGGCTTGAAACAAGGTTGGAATGCAAGTTAAGCAACTGAATCCTTCATTCTGCATCTGCACTGTTACACCCTAAACCCACATTCGAATGAGAGATTTGGAAATAAATTAGAATTTACAGTCTCCTTTCACTAGCACTGCTTATTTACAGTCAAATCGGTGCCCAAAGAGTTATTCTTAACACAAACTATATCAACACCCATAACTTCAAAAGAGGAATCATCTCGTTACACTCTTCATGTAGACAAAGCAGAAAAATGAAAGATGTTGGAAGGAAGGTTTTACCACGACTTTGTTGCTGTTGGCAACCAAACGAGAGATCTGGCTGCGGCCCCAAGGCCATAAAGAGAAGCTCCAGCCGAGGACAGCAAAGCCACAGACCTGTCTCCCCCATTCATCAGCTCTCCCTTCCCTTCCCTGACGTCGCACGCACACACACCACACACACACACACACACACACACACACACACACACACACACACACACCTCTGCTTTTCACACACACATCCCAAGCAGACAGCCCACGGAGGAGAACCAGACAGCCCGCCGAGGGACTGCTCCAGGCACACTCAGGGTAATTACAGGAAAGCAGCACTGCTCCTCTCCTCTGAAACCACCTCAGACCTCAGCCACAGTCAGAGGGGAGAAACTCAGGCAGAGAGCAGCAGATGGGGGAGTACAAGGGAAGGACATGGTAATGCAGCCAAGGCTTCTCCAACCCCGGCGTTGTGTCGTTATGGCAGGTGTTAAGACTGGGTGACATCTATACGTTACATTTAACATCCTGCTGTAAACTATGTTGGAGACCTACTGTGTGTGAATTTCAAAAGCAAAAACTGAGAAGTGTTTTTTTTTTTTTTCATACAAGAAAATTACGTTTTAAAATAAGTGCTAAGAAAACATTTGATTCATTTGATTCACTAACCCGGTAAATGGGTATAATTTCTTAAAACAAAGATGACGACACCCTCTGTTCTATAAATACAACAGCACGAGTAGGATCATGGAGTAGTCCTAACTTCTGGCTGCAACAGAAGCTCTGTGCCAAGTCACACTAGGATGGCACCCTCCCAGTCCCAGGCCTAACTACCACAGCAACCCTGTGCCCTCGAGAAAATAAAGAAATTAGGTTACAGGATAAAAGTGAGATAAAATGTGCAACCAATGATGGGCAGTGTCAGAAAATGGCAGAAAAGCAGTACATCTGCTCAAATAATGACAGAATGTAAATAAGCCATGTCAAGAGCAAGGCACTGTGTGAGGGAGTATTAAAGCCTAAGCGATCAAAAGATGGATCCTACTTAAAAATCTGCCAAGTGGGTTGGTAATGTTTTTTTTAAATCAGTGCATTATGCAAATTCCTTGTGGGCAAAGGCAAATGTCTTTAGCAGCAGATGGTGACTGAGTACAAGCTACTGGCCACCTCAGATCTATGTGCATAGATAGTCGGTCCCAATTCACTCCCTACCACTTCCCTCTGGCCCTAACCCTTTGATGTTAGTACATCTGGAAGGTGGAAACAATATGATGGAAGCTCCACCACTAGTCTGATTTAGTTATCCAGATTCTTCAGATCCGCAAACAGCTAAGGGGTTAGGGCCAAATAGCTAATCAATCAATAGAAGCTGTGTCCCAAATGGCACCCTATTCCATATATATATCAAATCAAATGTATTGGTCACATACACATGCTTAGCAGATGTTATTGTGAGTGTAGCAAAATGCTTGTGCTTCTAGTTCCGACAGTGCAGCAATATCTAGCAAGTAATATCTAACCACAACTAAAACCTAATACAAACAAATCTAAGTAAAGGAATGGAATAAGAATATATCAATATATGGATGAGCAATGTCATTATCAGAGTGGCATGATGTATAGTGAACAGAGTGCCTATATATTGAAGTGCACTACTTTTGACCAGGGCCCACAGGGCACTATATAGGGAACAGGAATGCTAATGGTGTGAGGAGTGTGTGTAACCCTTCCTGTTGGCCCACTCTACTTCCCTTGCACTTCAGAGACTGGCACTGGTTGTATCCACAGCTGCCCAAACCAAAAGACTAACACTTAAAAAGGACAAAGATCACACAAATGTGTCAACGAGTTGAGTTATAAGCTGCACAGTAGTTGATAATCTTATGATGTAATTTTTATTCAAGCATTTTCATGTTTAAATATGTCCCTAAACTGAAGTGTGTATTGTACATTAGTCAGGAGTATCTGATGTAATAACATTAGGGGCTTTGTTCTATCCAAACCAGTAAATGGGTTTCTGTGAAAAATTATAAAGGGGCAATCTGTGATTGGTACATTCATTTTTTGACTTTTGAATTAATGACTTATACCCGTTGATTATTGAAATATATTATTTATGCCTCATGGTACCTCATCAGAGCCCAAAATATAAGATTGATTGACTCCAATATATAAGTTATAAATGACTTATCATGGATGGTCTGTCCATGCATCCATAGCTCTGTCTATGAATTTGAGAGTGGTTACATTTACATCCTTCAGCTTTTTACCAAAACAGTGACCACTTTGTTAATATTTGAACTACAGATTTGCGCTTTAAATGAAATGCTCCAAGTGCTCTGAGAAAACATGATGATAGAATAAGTCCATCTGCTAAAAGCAGAAATATATGGCCACATAATTATATAGAATTATGTTTTTTACCCAACATTCAGAAACATCCCTGACAAAATGAGTGTATTGCATTGATATCTAAAATTAAGAAACATGGCTTCTCATTTGACATTCAGAAAATTGACCTTTCATTTACTGACTGATAAATTGGCTACACCAACTAAGTGTGCCAAAGATAGTCAGTTTGGATACAAACCACTATCTGCATTGGGGCAAAAAGCCAAAAGCTAGTGTACCCACACAACTCCACTTCCAGGCTCAACGTATGATCTACAACATAGGAGAGGGTTAGGGCCTATTTCACAGGTGGTTACTTTTTGTGGGAGGCTTATTTAAGGGAGGTACATAAAAGTATTTTCAAACACTCAAAAAGGTCCTATTTACAGTGAACATTCTCCGTAGCTACAGTGGGGAAAAAAGTATTTAATCAGCCACCAATTGTGCAAGTTCTCCCTCTTAAAAAGATGAGAGAGGCCTGTAATTTTCATCATAGCTACACGTCAACTATGACAGACAAAATGAGAAAGAAAAATCCAGAAAATCACATTGTAGGATTTTATGAATTTATTTGCAAATTATGGTGGAAAATAAGTATTTGGTCAATAACAAAAGTTTCTCAATACTTTGTTATATGCCCTTTGTTGGCAATGACACAGGTCAAACGTTTTCTGTAAGTCTTCACAAGGTTTTCACACACTGTTGCTGGTATTTTGGCCCATTCCTCCATGCAGATCTCCTCTAGAGCAGTGATGTTTTGGGGCTGTCGCTGGGCAACACAGACTTTCAACTCCCTCCAAAGATGTTCTATGGGGTTGAGATCTGGAGACTGGCTAGGCCACTCCAGGACCTTGAAATGCTTCTTACGAAGCCACTCCTTCGTTGCCCGGGCGGTGTGTTTGGGATCATTGTCATGCTGAAAGACCCAGCCACGTTTCATCTTCAATGCCCATGCTGATGGAAGGAGGTTTTCACTCAAAATCTCACGATACGTGGCCCCATTCATTCTTTCCTTTACATGGATCAGTCGTCCTGGTCCCTTTGCAGAAAAACAGCCCCAAAGCATGATGTTTCCACCCCCATGCTTCACAGTAGGTATGGTGTTCTTTGGATGCAACTCAGCATTCTTTGTCCTCCAAACACGACGAGTTGAGTTTTTACCAAAAAGTTCTATTTTGATTTCATCTGACCATATGACATTCTCCCAATCCTCTTCTGGATCATCCAAATGCACTCTAGCAAACTTCAGACGGGCCTGGACATGTACTGGCTTAAGCAGGGGGACACGTCTGGCGGCATAGTGTGGTCCTCTGTAGCTCAGCTGGTAGAGCACGGCGCTTGTAACGCCAAGGTAGTGGGTTCGATCCCCGGGACCACCCATACACAAAAAAAAAAATGTATGCACGCATGACTGTAAGTCGCTTTGGATAAAAGCGTCTGCTAAATGGCATATTATTATTATTATTATTATTACTGATGGTAGGCTTTGTTACTTTGGTCCCAGCTCTCTGCAGGTCATTCACTAGGTCCCCCCGTGTGGTTCTGGGATTTTTGCTCACCGTTCTTGTGATCATTTTTACCCCACGGGGTGAGATCTTGCGTGGAGTCCCAGATCGAGGGAGATTATCAGTGGTCTTGTATGTCTTCCATTTCATAATAATTGCTCCCACAGTTGATTTCTTCAAACCAAGCTGCTTACCTATTGCAGATTCAGTCTTCCCAGCCTGGTGCAGGTCTACAATTTTGTTTCTGGTGTCCTTTGACAGCTCTTTGGTCTTGGCCATAGTGGAGTTTGGAGTGTGACTGTTTGAGGTTGTGGACAGGTGTCTTTTATACTGATAACAAGTTCAAACAGGTGCCATTAATACAGGTAACGAGTGGAGGACAGAGGAACCTCTTAAAGAAGAAGTTACAGGTCTGTGAGAGACAGAAATCTTGCTTGTTTGTAGGTGACCAAATACTTATTTTCCACCATCATTTGCAAATAAATTCATTAAAAATCCTACAATGTGATTTTCTGGAAAAAAAATGTGTCTGTCATAGTTGACGTGTACCTATGATGAAAATTACAGGCCTCTCTCATCTTTTTAAGTGGGAGAACTTGCACAATTGGTGGCTGACTAAATACTTTTTTCCCCCCTGTAGGCTGTG